TAGGGTGGATATAATACATGATATTTTTTCCGTCATGTATTATACATGTATTATACAATGTATATAGTGTATTATTCATGTATTTTGAAAAATAAGCATAAATAATAGTAAATATTAATTTATATCATACTTATTAAATTGTTACTCTAATTTTATCACTAAATTGAATATAAAACTAATAAAGAATAAGCTTCTAAAATGTTTAGCAAGTTTAATTTTCAATCCAGCTCAGTTTTTGATATTTTTGTTGTAAAGATTGCAAGAATTCTAGTCATCCATTTTGGGAAAACTTTCCTAATCACGTGATTTTGACTTACTTTTACTCATTTTTAATCAAATAAAATTAACTAAAATAATAATTTTGATTTTCAAAAAATATTTACAAGATTTATATTTGAATAATAATGAAAATAATCAGAAATTTGACAGTTTTCTCAATAGGGGGCGGGATTTCATGTATGTATGGTAAATGGGCTCATGTATTCTACATGTATAATACATAGAATAATACACATGTATTATACATCCAATGTATGCCAATCCACCCTACTATTGAGTCGCTTGAGTGCGATTAAGAGAGAGTGACGAACAGATACTTCATTTCCTACGACTATATCGTTAACTATTTTGTCCAACAATTCGCTTAAATGTAACGTCTATTTGATCATCACTTCTATGAAAACATCATCTCTTCTCCAATCTATTCCCCTATGAATCGCACCAAATATAAGTCGGATTAGCGCTCTCTCTCTCTCTCTCTCTCTCTCTCTCTAAATGTTTAAATCGAGACAAAAAATAAGGTAAAATCCTTATTGTTATCACAACCACAAGAAATGAAAATTTTTTACAGAATTAACCCTTGTTTTAAAGATTATTGTATTTGGGATTTGATTCAATGTGTAACTCACAAAATCTGTGATTACTTATACTCTGTTACTCTGTACTGCTTTAAGTACTGTACTATTACTAGTAAAACATATAACATTTGCAAGAATAAAAAATATATCTAATAAAGCTCAATCGCCCACTAATCTCTAATCCCATAAAATAAATGTTTTAAAAACAATTTACTAAATCTTAAGAATATTGTTGATGTTATCTTAAAATTCTAAGCATAACTACAGTGTACAGTATACTACAGTATAGTAGTGGTATAATGGTATTGTAGTCATTTTCTTTGCCTCCTATTAAACTATTTCTCAAACCATTATTTCTTTGAGTTATGAACAAAAAGTAAACATTTTTTATACACTTCACTGCATATGACATCAAAACAATTGAACTTTTTATATATTGAAATTATAAAATATATACATTTTATAAACGCTTTGAAATCAGATTTTCAGATCAAATTAATTTTGCCAACAATTATCATCCATAAAGTTGCTTACTTAAGATTAATAACTCTGAAAATGTATAGATATTAAAATTATTATAATCTATAAGTACACATCTATATTTTTAAATTCTTAATACTTTACTGATATTGAAATCATTGTTTAATGTTATTGACATATTGCTATGCTACTTGTGCATTCATCACATTTCATATGATTACTCTGAACAACAGGTACAGTGACTGCTGGTGCCGAAGCACCGGCCGCTGTGTTAGCGTGCAATGGTCTTCAAGGCGTTTGTATGGCCAGTTGTGCCGCAGGATTTCTGTTGGCCCCTACACCTTAGTCTCCCTGGTGTCCACATAATGTTAAATTCCCTAATAATTGGATCCCTTTCTAAGCTTTTTTTGTATTTTGTTTAACTCATGATATTATTGTTCACAATCTGATTGCTATTCATTACTTTTTGTAAACCAAGAAAATGAATGTAAAATTAATTTATAAGAATCTTGATTCAATTAATTTCTAACTTCATGCATATAATGTATGACAAAATTGTATCGAAATAAAATTCATAATACTCATAAAACCACTGTAGTATTAATTATTTAAATTCATAATAGAGTCTATTAGTTGGCATAAAATAGTTACTGAATTCCAAGTCTTATCATTTCTAACAGACAACTAAAAAAGTTTTTCATTTAACAGATTTGTTGGCAAACAAACAGTTTTATCAATTGAACACTGACTTGTGTGAGCTCTACAATACATACATAGAATTTGCATTAAAATCCTTTAATGAACTACTTTTTTGTGGCATTAATAGAAAAGACGTCTTTTATAAATAGAAAAACTTTACAAAAATATTAATTCATTTCACTCTCACTCTGTCTGACTGTCTGTCTCTTGCATTGTATTCATGTATTGAATGAATTTCTATACAAAACTCAAATAATCAGAATATGAATTTTAATTAAAATCAAAATATTTATTATAATAAGAATAAGTGAAATATAGAGTATTATAAATATACGGTATTATAAATTTATTCAAACTATTTGTTTGCATTACCCAGAATAGAAAAATAACTACTGATCCAATTACAAAATTAATGTTTAGCCTTTATAATTGATAAATGTTAAAAGACTTTGAATTTGAAAACTATGAAAACAAAACTTTATAAAACAACAAGAAAAATAGCTCTTATTTGTTGGGAATTAAGTCATTTAGTTTGAGTGGTATTTTATTAATACCATAATCTAATCGATTGGTTAAATTCCATTATAACTAGTGATTAATGTTTGGTTTTGAAATAATTAAAACTTTACAATTATCATTAATTTATTGAAACAGTATAAAAATAAAATGTTTGATTTACCAAAAAATACTTTATAACAATTATCTAAAAGTTTATAACTGAAACGAATTGCTATAAACTTATCTCAATTGACCTCAAACTGTATGCTTTGGCAATAAATTAAAATTAATATTATTTACTCTTTTAATCCGCAATCATAGGAGTAGAAAATCAAATGATATCACTTATACAGTGGTTGAAAATATTTATTTAACCATTAATTGTTTATATGGTACAGTATTTAGGATGTAAATAAACTTAAAGTCCATAAGCGAGACAATTATATTATATTTAGCTCTTAATTGATATATAAAAATAACTGCTCTTAACCTATCGATCATTTTTGGAGTATTTTGTTATTATTTATAAAAAAGCAGTGAAATAAAGTTACAAACTCTGAATTTATTAGTTTTCGATTTGTGATAAGATTTAATCAATGACTTAATTATTACTTAATTGTTAAGTCTTGTGATTGTAATGTTTTTTCAGCGATAATAGGCTTGTTTAACACAAGTAGTCGTATAGACGTATGTTTTATATCAATTTCAAGTTTATATTGGCTTTTATGATTTTGGGAAACAATATATTGATATTTTTGTCATAAATAGTTTCAATTAATTATATACCGAAAGGTTTGATAACCAAATTAATTGTCATAAATTGAGTTTATAAACATTCTTTAATAAATAGAATATTCTTTTAATTTTTAGCATTAATTTTGTAGAATTTAAACATAAAAATGGAGAGACGAAGGATTAGAGGTATTTAATAATTGATATAATTTTGATGACAAATAATGCCATTTTTTGGGTTTGGTTTGATTGGTGTTGATGTATATGATAGCCACTGAAGACAGTATACGAATGGATGAAAATGAGTTCCGAATAGATAGGGTTCACCGCGTGTTCTACCGATTAATACGGAATGTCATCATATTCTTCATCGGATTCGGTGCTCCACTCAACTCATGGCTCAAACCTAACGATATATTTAGGCTATTATTGGATAAACACAAAAACCTATGGCTTTACTATAGGATCTATTGTTGGCTTTTAATACACATCTGTTTCGTTCTCAACATCTCATCCCTCGTCTATCTATTAGTTTGGATTAATAAAGACGTTTCGGAATTATGTCAACAAATAGTACAACTCATATGGAGTCTGTCGGCGTGTGTGGCCATCGATTCCAGTTATTACTACAGGAACTCCACATTACTGGAGGGCACGTGTGAGACCACTGACCAAATTCTGGTCGACTGCACCAAAATGGATAAATCCTCGCACCAGTACCTCTTATATGACATCAAAGTTCCGTTGCATTTGAATTTCATCAAACATTTCTACAAAATCTACTCAATACCCAAATTACATGAATTTATTAAACTCTTTTTATTTCCTATTATTTTCAATCTATACTTCTATGCGGAACTTATTATCAATTTTTGGGACCAGAGCATAGAAAAAGTGCTCAATTTGTTTATGTTTATGAATATATTTATTGTGACTGTTAATATATTTGTATATTTGGCATTTTGTCTCGTATTCCGTAATAAGTTTAGACATTTAAACCAATTTATCAAATCATTAATTGAGACGAAGAATACAACTGTTCAACAATTATATATAATCTCCAAATGGTATGATTTTTATTGCAAAAATTTCTCCAATTTATGAATTACTTTTGTAATTAGCAAGCAATCACTAATAATTGTTTTTTGTATCGCTTTAATCTACAATAACAACAATTCTATAAAAACCTTATCTTTAATCCACGAAAATATTAATATATTGTTTAATATAAAAATAATCTAAACGAGAAATATTATGCAGACAATTAATACATTGTGAACAAATTAGATTACTAATTGTAAAATTATGTTTAATAATCCTTTTTATTTTATACACAGGTATAAACACAATCACTCAAAAATTATCAAATTTGATGACACGTTCAACATTTTTATTGTGACTTTTTATATATCAATAGCACTTAACATAATAGTCTCAATATTTGGCATAATATTGCACACAAATGTTAAGATAGACAAGGGTTTCCAGAATATCCTAATTTACAACA